GAAGTTCTTGGCAACGTCGCAACACTGGATTCTTAGTTTAAAATAAAAAAATAATTATGTATTTATTATGCTAATGTGTGTCCTTCCTTCAACACTTTTTGATAAAAAGAAGTTTTTCATGCTATATAATAGACGACGGCGCGATTGTTATGTAGGTCTACATATAAATTACTTACAAATAGATAACTTTCACAATATCGTGCACAGAGGAACGTTGGCATTTTCCCATTTGAAAATGATAGAAAATTAAATACAAAAATACAGCTCAAAACTACAGTCACAAAGAATTTAGTAATTATTGATACTATAAAATTTTTATAATTAAAAACATTAAATAATATTACATACCAAAAAAACAAACGTGAGAAAACGCCAGCTGAATCGTATGTTTCACTTTCACTTTGCTGTTTCTCCATTTTATATTAAGAATATGTCTCATCAAAAATGTTCTGTATACTGCGTTTAAAGCATCATTTATCAAATGTACATGTTACCCTGACACAGTATATTAAAGTGTAAAGGTTTAGTCAGTTGTTTGTGTTCATAAAACCTTGAAGTTTCAACCGGATAGAAAACAGTTTAATTATGATATTAACAGAAAGATTCGTTATTGATATACTGTAATTTAAATTTTAGACGTGTTTTAGTACACTTAAAAAAGCATCATTTACATTATTCTGACTAAATTTCAAAAATGTTTCAGTGCATTATTTACTATGAATAATTCCTTTTCACAATTTATTTGTGACCAATTTATCACCATTAACTGTTAGATGTTTGCTACCATTCGTTATATTTGTGACTTTTGCTTAAATTATGTGATAAAAGCACTTAATTTAAGTATCACTTCTTATAAATTATTTTCCATTATTCGAGTTTTTCAATTAGCTCGAAGTGTAGTTGTAAATATATTGTTAATAAAAAATTATTCAGAATATTTTCAAAGTAGTGAACATTGTACAAACGAAAAGAAATTCGAAGTACAAACCATGCATGAAGTGACTATGAATTATAACCTTTGCTTCAGTGACGTCAATATATTTATTCCATCCTTGATATTTTTCATAGATTTGCTTGATATATTTTTTTCAGTACTTGAACTGATTATAAAAAGACTGTGTTATTTTTTACATTTTTAATTATTAATAATTAATTAATCAATGACTTACTTTTTTGTATTACTTTTAAAAAAATTCCTTCATTGATTTATCGTAAATAAATCAAATAAAAAAAAACAGGAATTTAGAGGACTTCAGATCAAACAGACAAATTTCTGGTCCTTATTTTGTGTTGTATGAGCCGTATGGTGGCGTTCCCGGTAGGGTGGGCAAAAGAAACATATACACTAGTTGTTTTCAAATTTTTTTAGCCATATCATACCTAAGCATCTATCAATATTGCTGATCATGCTAATATTTCTTTTCGTGCGTTATTCTGGTATGTAATATAATTTAAACGTTATAATAATTAGAAATATAAAAATTATTTTTAATACAATGTCATAACAGATGGCGCCACTAAATGTGGACTAGATAGTTAAGCAACTGGATATTTTTATATTGTTATTAGGTTTTTAAATATAAGCATTATATTTATATTTAACTTTCTAACGTTACCGAACGACAGAATCAACAGCAAAACCGGCTGTGTGCACGCTATCGTAAAATTTATATATTGATAAGGAATTTAATTTTGTTTTTGATATCAAAAAAATTTAACTTCATGAGATCATATGAAAGTTTATCTTTAGCTTAAGTAGTGAAAAAGTAAAGAGAATTGTGATATCTCCAAGAAATGAAAAATATAGTTTAACACTAAAAACTTGCAGAGAACTAAAGCACATAAGATTTGACTTTTTTAAGAAAAACAAAATTGATTCTGCATTTTATGTAAAGTTACAATCTCCCATAGGCTAATGAATTCCCCAAGCAAGCTTGAGTAGGCTATAGGTAACCTTAACCTAATCAAACTCTTGAATAAAAATGTTGTTAATACACAAGAAACCTTATTATATTCCAGTAACAATAAAAATTAAATAAAACTAATGTTTTCAACCATATTAATGGTCTTCCTTGGGCTTTTGACCAGTACAATTTGAATATGGAATGCGTCAAACAATATGTTTAAATTATCTTAAAATTCTGAAAAATTTAAAAGTAGAAGATAATTATGCTCACTAAGCAAAACAATACAGGAGCACAGTTATGATATCTCCAACCAAAGGCATACCTTCATCCTAACCTCCTATGCCACAGACCCCGAAATACAAGCCCATCTCCATACAGCCAAATTATTAAAAATGTCACATCAGGTTGATCATCTTTGCAACCCAGAAGCTTTAGAAATTTACAAAGCTGGACTGGCTGGCAACTGTATTTACACATAGGATGCTGCTAATGTTTCTTATGCATGAAGAAACATTATGAGAAAAAATGAGAGCAACAACATTAGATGCTTATTCTACACCATTAAGTACATCTTATTATTTATTTGTTATGATGTAAAGATATTTTTATCACTATAGTAGCACATTTGGCTAAAAAATTATCTTCTAGTTTTAAATTTTTCGGGATTTTAAGATAATTTAAACATATTGTTCGACGCATTCCATATTCAAATTGTACTGGTCAAAAGCCCGGGGAAGACCATGAATATGGTTGAAAACGTTAGTTTTATTTAATTTTTATTGTTACTGGGATATAATTAACACACAAGTTATTTTCTAAAAATGTTATTGTTTAATTAAAAATACCATAATTATTATTTTTATTTGATTTTTGTTAGTTCTAAGCTGCTTTTCCAAATATTCATGCAGAATATTTTAATGGTAAATGACTTCTTTTAAACTCCAGTTTTTCATGATAAATAAGCATGCATTCTAATTTTACTCTTACTTTTTTAACCAGAATACAGTAAAAAAGAAATTGGTGCCACGTGCCAAAATACATTAAATACTTTTTCCTATATACTTTGTACTAAAATGAAAATGAATCTTATAAGATGCATTTTCATTTCTGTACAAATTATGTACAGTATTTTAATTTTCAAAAGTGAAGAATTCAAAATTTTTTAGATTTCTGCTGATATTCAAATTAAAAAGATTTGACTGCAGAGTAGTAGTTAGAATTTTTACTATAAAATTTTCTTAACCTTGTTAACTTGTACTAAAGTTAAATTTCAAGTATTCAATCTGTTTAAATGTAAATTATTTTTTGAGTGTTTATGCTAAAGTTTTAAGTTTCATCTATTTTCCATGTTTATTATATTACATTTATGTTAGAATTAATTAAAAAATGTTCTTGATAACTTTTAAAATCTCATTTATTAAAACTTCTGATTCCTAAGAGGAAAAGCCAGCTTTTTATGTAGTTATTAAATTTAAAATAAACTGTAAGAAAAATATAAAACAAAAATTTTTTAAATTTAATAAATGTTTAGTTTATTTATATTTAGTTATATAGATGTACTAAAACCATTTACTTAAATGGCTTCAATAAATAGCTTTATTTCAAAAACAAACATATGTTAAAAATCTTGACTCCTTTCTCAAGTTGACTGATATTATTTTTATGTTTGAAAAGATGTTTCATAAAAATACGAATGATCTTAACAATTTTTTGTTATATTTCTCAGATTTTTATACTTCTTTCTTTCTTAGTTACTGTATATCAATACTATAGTTTCTCATTCTATAACTTTATAATTGCTTTATGAAAACATTATAAAATAATTACAGGTATAACATGTACAAGACAGTATTTCTAAAACACAATTTTTTTCTAATAAGATTTGAGAATTAGAGACATCCCATACAAAAAGTCACAATTTTTAAGTGCAAATGCCATCATTTGATATTTTTAATTCAAACAAGCATGCATGTTGTCTCACATTTGCCCTTGATTTTAGAACATTGAAATTTTCAATACCGTTTCTTGCCTTTCACCCAGTTTTCTTTAATGAGAACTGACTGTACAATTTTTCTTCTTTCTCATCCACCTTCCTATTCTAGTTTTCCTATAAACTGGGTGTCACTGTTTGTGGAGTTAGTGCTCTAAATGAACCCAAAAGACTGTTGCTGTTTTGTTTTTATAGATTATTAAAATATATTTTTAAAGATCTCTTACATAAATGCAAGCAAATGAAAATATCAGATTCTATGAAAAAAGTAGAGAAAAATCAAGATTTTGCTGATACTTCAGATTAAGGTCAACAAAAAAGCTCAGAAGATGACATTATTTTGCCAAAAATAAAACATTCTTGTTTAATAAATAATGTTTAGTAGTGAAGAAAAAATTAATATTAACATGCAATATTTTTGATTATAACTTAGTTAATTATTCATTGCTGTAATAAACATTTAAAAAAGAATAGTATACTTTTGCTAACTTTTGGAACCTAACTCTATATATGCTTTGTGCTAATCCTTTGTTTCATATTGCATGGATTCACAAAACATGTTACTTTTTTGGAACCTAACTACCATGTTATAAGGGGTGTATCTGTAAGATGATGTCCATTTAGCTGAAATTGATTAATTCATAAACAAATAATTTAATATTCAGAATATGTATCTTAGTATATTTTTGAGATTTTACACATTAAGATCATTGTAAGAAACTAAAATTTGTGGATTATTAAAATTTGTGAAAATTGAATATACACTCTTCATATATATGTTTAACAAACCGTATATTCTTTTACTTTGAAAATTTAATGATTCATATTTTAAATTTTATATTTATTTTCAAGTTAAACTTGTTTAACATGTAAATCTATCTTTGAAATAAACATAGAATATTATAAAATATGCATAAAAACCTAAAATTAACAATGAAAAGTAGTTTAATATCCAAAAAACATTAAAAAAATTTGAGATATATTCAACTTATACAATTTATTAAAAAAATAAAATATATTTTGAAAAATTATCAAATACAATTTACAAATATTCTATTTGATAACACCTGATAATTCTGAAAAACCAACAGTTTTAATCTCACCTGATCCCTTTGTATTGCTCCTATAATTGCTTTTAATGTGTTTGCTAGAGTAGACTTGCTAGGTGGTTCTTCCTAATTATAAAATATATAAAGTTATCAATATATAAATTGCAAATATAAAAAAATATTAAAAATATAAATAAATTGTAGTTTATATATAAACAGTATAATTTTTCTAATNAACAAATAATGCATGTTGTGACATGATCTACTCGCAAATAAAACAAATGTGCCCGCAGTGTCGCCACCGCACCCACCGTAATGTATCAGGTCGTAACATATCACCCGCGAAATGTACACATATTTCGCCGAACATTCGGCCGCCGAATATTCGGCGCTTCGGCCAAGAGCGTAGCCAAATGTTCGGTATTCGGCAAAATCACTATTCGTGGCATCACTAATAATATATAATTCAGCTTGAGGTTACTGAATCAATGCAGGGTAATCATAATTAAAGTATTCCTATTCAATACTGTCTGGAAGGAAATATAGCAGTCCAAATACAACCAAATTTTGTATGCTAACATTTCAGGGAAATGGAAGAGATTTCTGTGAAAAAAATTTAGTTCTAAAGCTCACCACTATGAGACTTGAAACACTGTGAATAACAAAAATCACATGACAATTGTAAGCTATATGAGAGAAATGATACAACTAAAGCACAAAGAAACAAATATGTTACATTTAAGACATTTTATTATTGCCACTATTTACTTGAACAATAAAATGTCTTAAACAGACCTTAATAGTGCAACTGATGGTGCTCAATGTGATCCTCATTCTAATGATGTAAAACTGAAGTCAATGGCAATATATAACTGATCTTTCATGATGCTTGTCACATGCAATGTGTTACTGTCTTTCAAAGTTGCCAGGTTAGGGACATGTCTCAATAAACTTTCTTTTAAAAGGTCCCACAACTAAAAGCCACAAAGATTAAGATAAAAAAAAAAACCAAGACTCTAGCAATGCAAAAAAATGTGAGACTAGTAATTCTGCTCTGAGAAATGCCACAGTACTGTTCTACATACCATCCAATGTGTAGTGGTGTAGCTTGCATAAAAATAGTCAATACAGAACATTGTTGCTGATGCATTTATAGGATAGCAAAACTGTTTAATCTCACCTGTGTTATTCCAGACATATATTGGGGTCATGACCTTTGACCTTCTGGGTTAAACCTGATATATAACTTGTTACAGTATTAGCATGTTTTTGATACTAGATGTCGCTATGCATCATAATTTTTATATTAAAATAAACACAAACTTTCAAAATATAATTTTTTTTTATATTATTCAATATATTTATTTTGTTTGTGCAAAATACAAAAATAATATTTAACAATACAATAGCCACAATTATTATTTAAAAAAAAAATTTTTTTTGTTAGGCTTAACATCGACAAAAATTCAACATGGCAGCCACATGCAACGGAGAAAAATTTCAACATGGGATAGGTTAATCTCTCTCCATAACTCTGGGAAGTAACAGATTAGGTCAAGGGCCACCTTTTCATATAAGTGGGACTAACCTCCTCGCATAAGAATTAACCAAAGATAAATGCTGTGAAGACACAGCCACTGAGTTTAGATGAGTGTACTGGAATCTGTTCACATGCATGTGAATGTTGAAAAGTCCAAATGTGAGAGTTGCGAGTGTTCATTGTTTTAGTGAGATAAAAATGTTTCAGTCCATAAGATCTCTCATGAACATGCATCATCGACTTTCATTCCAGCAGAGATGTTCAATTCAAAGGTCAACTGGGTTCCATTGTCATTATCAAGCAACTATTGGACGTGGATGATCTTCTGTGGAAAAATTTCTACACTTCTTAGTACCTTTTTTCAGTTACATTTAATTATGATACTGCCACAGATATATTTGATATTTGGATATTGTAATTTAAATATATATTACAACATGAATATATATTTAAATTACAGGTATAAGTGTTATATCAAATTAAGTTCATTACATTATAATTGCTTACAATTATTACATTTGGAAAGAGGAGAAGAAAAAGTGTTTTGTAATTTTATACAATCAATTTATAACATTGATACAAAACTTAAAAAATTATCACAAGAGAAATTTTTTATAATAAATTCATTCAAAGAATATAATAAAATAATTAAATTTCTTCTTAATTTAATTATTTATATTGTTTAAGAAAATTATGAAATTAGTATTACATTAAAAAATTTAAAATATTCTAAACTTACTTCACATAATATTAATTCTTCAGTTCCAATATTAAAAGATACATGAGAAAGAATATCGTCAGACATCAGATAATCATGAATGGCACTAAAATATATAAAATAATTGTTATTCTAATTAATATAAGTGACTATTCTTTAAATATATTTAAATAATATATTATTCCTAATCCAAATTCTAAATAGTTTTATTATCTGCAATAGTTACAGATCTATAAAAAAGCACAAAATAAAAACAAGATATAGAAACCTATTTTTAAAAAGATTTAGTAGAAATCTAAAACAATCTTTTTAAATTTATATTATCTTTTCAAAACTCATATGTTAAAAAATAATTATTAGTCCTTTAAAAAATTGCTTTGCATATTTATAGTTATTTTAAAACTTTAAGATTTGAACTAGTTTTTTTTAAATACTATTTAATACATTTTAATATACTGAGCAATTATAATTTAATGATTTTTGTAGTATCATTAGGTCCTGCATTATTTGACATCTATTTGGAAATTGTCCCCTAGAACAATGCAATAAGAAATTCAATGGCATATATAAATAAATCTCAAGGACAACTGCCTCTCCCTTCTTGCTTCTTCATGTGGTTGCCCTTTGTAAGAACATACACATGCCCACCAGTGGCTGAGTGGATAAAACTACTGAACACTGATAGTTTGTAATGAGTTCATGTCTTGTTAACAGGCTGATCATGCAAAGTTTTTCAGGTTTTCTTCATGTTTGTAATACCTAAATAGAGACAATTTCCCTTAGAAAGTCCTCCTAGGAGGCATCTCCCTTGATAGATTGTCCATGTGTCATGTTATGCTGTATCTCCACTTAGTGCAAATTTTGAAGTGATGCAATTGCCTTAATCACTGCTTATGTGCACTAAAATTGCCTTCGAGTACTTTGGCAACAGAGTAGTGCAGTGATTTTCAACCGATGTGCCATGAGCAGTGGTGATGTTCAAAATATTTAACAAAGGGTTCGCTAACAGAAAATTTTTCCTTGACAATTTTTTTTCGCTCAAATGGTACATTAGCAACATCAGCGCAAAAACTGACCTTAAGATAACCATATAAATAAAAAAGATACGTTCACAAAATTAAGTCAGTTAAAATTTAACATTTTTTATGCCAAAACTATATATATATATATTTTTTTTTATAAATAATAAAAAAGAGTGTTCAAAATGGTTTATTTTGTACATATTTTATTACGACATGTGTTCCGCAGCCATCTTGTATTTTCTCACATGTGTGGGATTGTGGGATCTCTCTTATGCTGACTCTAGTTTCAAGAACTCTCTTGAGTCAACGGCGATTGAACCTCATTTCAGTCGAGATTGAAACAGTCAAGGGAGGTCGCATCAAGGCGAACGGGCGTATAAGGCTCTAGTTTAGTAGTGTTACAGAGTATAATACGTATATTTTAATATATTTTTTAAAAGAAACAAAACCACTGAGAAATGTTACGTGCGTTTAACAAGGTTCGGAAAACTTTGAAAATGTTAACAACGGGTTCACCCGAACCTGCTGAATATCACCACTGGCCACGAGAGGATCCTAGGTGTGCCATGAAAATTTTCAAAGGTTATTAAATTATTTTGGAAAGAAGCCCAAAGAACAATAAGTGTACATGTCAAAATTAAAATCTCTTTAAATTGATTATATGAGTTTTTCATTGTTATAATGAATAAACATATACATAATGTAGTAGAATATATATATGTGTTACTGGCCAAACCCAATTTCAGGCCAAACGGGTTTATCCTATGCGTGTCAGGATATACTAGTTTAGCCCAGGACAATCTAGTTTGGTCTAAATACTTTAGGCTTAACTAGATTGGCCAAGGCTGAACTGATTTCAATGATTATTGTTTTTATATTTGGAAGAGGTTTTCAAGTTTTATGAATTTTTTCAGATAGGGTTTTTGTATAATATTTACTTATAATGAAGGCGTGATAAAGATCTTTGAATGTTAATCAAACAAACAAAACGGCGATGTTAAACGCCGTTTTGTTTGTTCTAAAAAGCATAAGTATGTTATGTAATTTGGTCAAAATAAAATATTTGTTTATTTACAGTACAACCTTTGTACTCAAAAATTTCTATAAGAAAGTGATGTTATTTTGATGATATGAAACCGTGCTTTGCTATTTGTTTATGCTTCTGACACAATATAGTGCTATAAATTAAGACACTTGGCGGATTTTCTCATCTTTATTTAGTTGATACGTGTGGAAAAAATTACACGTTTCGAGCTCTTAAGCCCCTCTTCAGTCAACTAAAACATTTAAAAAGGATATAACATACACATAAAAAGGAATACACAAGTTTTGTAAAATTTTTAAAAAATAAAACATACCTATCCATACAGGTTTTATAAATTAAAGTAGCAGTTTACTTTCGATATTTTTTCAGCAACATCAGCTTATTCACAGTATTTTTTCTTGTAGCCTACTATAATATTAGGAGAGTATACAACGTATCTATATAAAACTATACATAAGTTTTATAGTATCTATAAAACTATATTTAATTAAGGCATACCTTGAGTACGGCTGTTATTAAGGTTGTACTGTACAAAATTGATTATACCTTTTACTTATAAAACAGTCTTACAAAATCCTTGGTCTAAAATATACCTTAGACAACAATTATCAAATTGGTATACAATTGATTATGCTTTTTACTCATAAATCTGTTTTACTAAATCCTTATTTCCTTTGATAAGCATTGACAATATAATACGAATTTACATAACTTCTACAATATAAATTTACATATCTGACATCTACTATATTTTTACAATATATGATTGTTGATTTATTTAACATTACAGTATTTAATATTATAGATTATTATATGAACTAATGACATTACAATGTCTTGAGGTTGGTAAACAGGATTAACATTTAATATAAATTTACATATTATTTGATTCCCGTTACAACATTACAGTTTTTTGTTATTGT